GTAGGTATGTTAATTTATACTCTCTCTATTTTTTTTTTCATAGTCGTTTTGTCAAGATTTGTTATTTTTTTTATTGTCATTTTACTAAAATCAATGACTTATTAATTTTTTTTCTCCATTTTTATTTTTGATAATTAATACATGTTTACTGAACAATATGTGTATTTATTTTTAATGTCTACCTATTTTTTTTCTAACTACCCATATAAAGTTAATGTGTATTTATAAGAGCAATATATTCCCAACAAAATACTATAATAAAAAAAGACAACTATTTACAACACTCTTTAACCATAACCATTAATTCATGGACAAGTATAATTAAATAGAGTAGGTTACAATTCACGTGTAATCAATGCATTAATAATTAATAGAGTAGATTGCAGTTCAACAGTCTTAAAAATACAAAAAAAGATAAAAGATAAAATATGAAATTAAATAATAAATATTTTTAAAAAAACTAAAATATCAATAATTTTCTTAAATCTCGTGCAAAATCTTGAACGAGTAAGAAAACAAAAACGGAGAGAATACATTGGATCACGGTGAGAGAGGAAATAAATCATCATATTAATGGTCCTTAGTACTCAAAATTCACAGCTACCAACAGTTCCCTATATAGCCTAGGGAAACACAAATTTTCCTGTCATAGCTATGTTTTATAGCACAAATAATTTGATTTCAGTTGTAAATATTTTTACCATTTTAATTTAAAGTTATACGTGTGATTTTCTAATTCATATATTAACTATGTGTAATTTTTTTTCTTCTATTTTTGTGTGTAGTGCTATTTTTTTTTGTTCAAAAGTTTAATTTCTCTATATTCTCAAAGTAAAAAAATTTACTCTATCATTTAATAAAAAGCATTTCAATCATATTTTTTTTAAAATTTATTATTTGTGAATAATTGATTAAATTTCATAATTTAATGTATGTTAATAAATTACAATTTAAATATCGAATAAATTTCTCAACTAAATATCGAATATGATCTAATTAATTAATATAAGCTATATAAATGGACTTAAATGATTAAAACAGAAAAATACTAACAAAAATTAATATAGTCTAATAATAAAAACAATGAAAAATGCATGGATTAACCCACTAAATTTATGGGTTAGGCAAAAAGAGTTGAAAAAACTCCTCAATTAAATGAACCATATATTACAAGGCTTAAATTTTATGAGAATTACGCTTTTTTTCTTCTTCTCAACGATGTGAATTACACGTTAATTTAACTCCTATATAAAATATGAACAATTATTTTATATGAAAATGTTTTTATAGACTATTTTTAATGAAAAGATTTATAAATTTTATTTATTATAATGATATATGAATTAAATTTTAATATTTTTAAAATAAATTATCAATAAATAAAAATATATTATACTACGATATAAATTATTTATTATAAATTTTAAATCTAATTTATATATTTAAAAATATATTTATTCAAATTTTAAATATAATTTATATATTCAAACATAATATATATTTATATATATGATTTATTTTCAATTTTAGTTATATATAATAAATATTTAATATGTGCATTTTACATGTTAAAAAAATTAATAAAAAAATGTTATTTGTTAAATACTTTTCTTAACCATTACACGAATCATTGATGTCTGTTAAATTTTATTTTAAATATTTTTTAAAAAATTCAATTGATATTTATTTGTTACTAAATAAGACTAACATGTGACCGAGATTATCGTATTATAGTGTTGTATCAAACTTGGCCTGATTTCACTAGTTCTATATCTTAAACATTATACTTAGATTTGTGGGCACCTCGTGAGGTTGAGTGGTGCTGAATTTGAATTTTTTAAAATAGAATCCTATGTTTAAGTTTTATAGATGGAAAAAAACACAGTGATGAAAGAAAAATATAGGAAGTCAGATTATGTTAGAAGATGACTGTACGACTCCTGGATCAGGTCTCATTTTGGGCCACTCAATTCTCAATTCTCAGCCCACTTGGAATATGAAGGAGTATTGGACCTTTGCGTGTTGGGCCACACCAGAACAGGAATATTACTGTATGTCATTGTTTACATGAAATAATATCACCGATTCACCATTTTGTTCTTTTGCTCGTCAATAATCTACTGTGCATGGCTATCGTTTCATATAAACAAGATAGCTTAAGATATGGGAGGTGAATTATGAAGGAGTAAGCTTTTCCAGGTAAAGGTCGTTGTCCAGAAGAAAGAGAGATAATTTGTCAGAAATGGAATGTATTAAATCTTCATTAATATAGTTATGCTAAAGACGAAGAGAGGTATACTTGCTTGCGTCTATGTATATATAAATTGTATGTCTATATTATTTTATCTTTTAAATAATAATAAGAGACTGAAAGTGCGATTATTTTTATGATGGCATCTGATCACAAATTGTTAGAACGATAATTCTACTAATTTCAACAATAATTACTTTAAAAATTATATTTATTCTAATAATAATTTTTTTTAGACTAATAAGGTTTGGAAGTTGATGTCTAATAATAATAGTGGTGAAATTTAAACTTATATATAACTTGTTGCACTTCATTATGCTAATCTAACTGTTTGCATATTTTGCTCATGTATAAGTTATTAGCTAATAAATATGTATGGAGAGAGGTGTATTTCATATATTATTAAATCATATTCAAATTCAAATAAATAATTTTATCAAAAAGGATAAATTATAATTATAAATTTAGCTTAAGATAAAATAATGTTTTGTCTATTTTTTAAGTTTGATTAAAGTTTTTTTTCTTATTACGAGTTTTCTCTAGTTCACTAAATTAAAGACTAATCTCACATGTAATAATGTGATCATCGTTGACCCAAGTTTATATTTAAAATAAAGATTGAACATGAAATTTTCTATCAAATAAGTCATCTTTACAATGTACGAGTTCATGATGCCTATGCCAAGCTATGAGATTTGCTAAAGTTAGTTCTACATTAGGCCATTCTTTTATATAATCATAGAATTAATTTTGAATTATTAAATTTAAAATAAAAAAACAATAAATTATTTTTTTCCTTTATACTTTTCAATTTCTTAACTATGTATTTTTTTAATACCTTTTTATGTTACTTAATTCACCCAAAGTTTAAGTTAAAGTGAAAATCTTAAATTGTCATATAGTTTTAACTATGTTTATAATATTATTCACTTTAATCCAAATTTAAGAGAGTTCCAAACTGCAAGGAAACGTAGTCTAATTTATCTATAAAAAAAAAAGTTGTATTTGATAATAACATTTTACTTTTTTTAGAAGAAATAATTTTTGTATAATAATGTAACATTTAGTTTAAGTATAAATATAAATGTGTAGTTGTAAACAATGTGAATTACATTCTCATAATAATAAAATTTATTTATTTATTTTTTACTTTTATTAAAATTCATGTCTGCTCGTGATATAATTAATTTTAAATAACAATAGATTTTCCAAACATATTATATTACAAAATAATTATAGGAAGCATCACATAACTTTCTCGCCAAACAAACTTATTATGCTAAATATCACTTCCATACCTTTTTAATAGTTGTTTAAAGTTTTTAAACAAAAATAAAAAATGTAATATTTTATTTTCCAGTTTTCACAAAATAATTTTCAAATTTTCTGTTATACCTCTTTTCATTTTTACTCCACAATAAATATATTAATCATGTATAAATTAATAAAAAATAGTAGAAATTAACAGTATAACTAGAAAAAAAATAGTAATTAATGTTGTTTTAAATTTTGAAAATGATATAAAAAAATGAGAACTTTCTAAAAAAAAACAAATAAAAAGAAAGTAGTAATAAATGGAGGGTCCGGAAGAATTGAATTATGAAATAGGTTAGTTAAATGAAAAAGTGATATACCGAATGCCTGAAGGGGTCGTAAGCATTCCTCAAGACGAAATCTATGATCATGGGTATGACTAGTTTTAAATTAGGCTAATAAACATTTATAAGCAAAAAGATTATTGGTTTAAAACCGAGGAAGGAAGGGATTTATGGTATCTATGTAGACGCGTTGAAGTTGAAAGGTTTCAAGTCACAACGCCTGGCGTGGACTATGCAATACCAGAATTAACGACCCAGTTACGTGACAAATCAGAATATGGCCCTTTCAAACCCCCAAGAGATTAGACGTGAGCCTAAACTTTCCAGTTCGAAAGAAGTTAGTGAATTGCGTGGAACATGCAATGCAAATAATACCTTATGGTCACCAGCTAGGCCTGTTAGTGTTGGAAGGGAGAATTCCGCAGTCAGTCATAAAGCAAAAAGTGCAAAACATAAAATAGTGACTAGACCATTGGTTTTGTTGCATCTACACATGAAATGGAACATCTTTTCACTTCGCAAATTTACACATGGATACGAAGAAGAGCAAAGATGAGAATGGAAGGAAGAGAGCTATAGGGAGAATGGGGCACCTTATCCTTCAGAATAGTCGACGCAATTTGCCTAGTTAACGTGCATGAGTGTGATCGAAAAATGAATAAGGAAATTAAAAAATAAAAACGGACAAATGAATATTTTTTTGATGAGTAAATGAACTAATGAATATGATTGCACGCAGCTAGACCGATTAATTAACAAACCTTAAACCGAAAACTTGTGTCCAGCGTGCAAGATAGTCCAAAAGCGCCGGCCATGTTAGAGAAACCTATCATATGATTACAGTTGCTATTCATCTAATTAAAATATACTATACTTTTTTTTTAACAAAATTATAGCATGCTTCGAAATAAAATATTTTAAATTTATAATAATAATTTTCAAATGTTAAATATATTGTACTACTTTACGACCAATTAATAATTTTCTCATTTTGAACGACGAAATAGAAGTAAAATTGAAGATATCAGACTCGGTAATAGAATTTGTTGCCTAATAAAATAACATGAGATTGGTTTTGAATTTCGATTAGCTAGACTTTGTAACTTATGCTTCGTAAGTTTTTTCTATGACAAAACTCCCCATCAGATACGTAAATGAAAGTGTCCTCTTAAATAATTTTAAATTTTTAGAGGAACTTCCCGGAAGTTGCTTCCAACAACTGCCATTAACCAGAATAGTTCCTGGTATACGGGGAAATGCTTCCTATAATTAAGTTGCTATGAAATTCTCATTCATTTATCCCATGTGGTAAAAATGTATAGTTTATGGGCGAGAGCTATTTATATTACATGATTAATTGGGGAAGGAACAGTTTCTTAAAATCAGACAACCATGATGCCAATTTCTCAATACCTTTTAATATTCTGAGGAGAGCACTGAGCACGCAAGTATCTATTGTCACAGAGGCATAGCTCCTAACTGAGAAACCAACAGCTCCCCGCATTAAAGTGGAAGTATCAACTACTGGTTGAAATTATCATAACAGAAAATCATCTGTGACAAAAATGATGATGGAGGAAGTAAAAGATTTGTGTCTTCCGTATGTCACTTTAATTGTCAGTGAAAAGTCGTCATACTGCTGCACAAATTGCTCCTGAAAGATGGGAAGAGAACTATATATAATAGTTATTCATTTAAATCGAACTATGCAAAACTGTAAATGACTAACAGTGTTTGTTTTTAAGTTTTGACTCGATCTAACAAGACAAAGCTTCTTGGCCGTGAGATGTTTGAAAGTTGTGACAACTATAAATCGAGCACACTAAATTCCTCACCTTTTGTCTGCGTGAATATGCTAATTCTCTTTTGCTAATGAAAAAATATAAAAACTAATATTTGCCCCATTCCAGCCTAAAAGCCTGTTACCTAGGATCAAGATTAGTACTACTTCATAACAGTAAAGTTAATACACGTCTAATATCATTTGTTTAATTATGATCCTGTAAGCTTTGTCGTATTAAATCTGAATTCATTAGAATTATCTGATTTTAAAAAGTCCAATTGCTAATTTGTAACAACAGTGCTACTATCTCGATAAAAACCAACTAAAACTTGCCTATAAAATAGTACTGTATTTTTTTTTGGGTACAATAATGATAGAGATTTAAACTCTTTTACTTCGTTCAAACTACTTATTAGATCGCCCACCGTTAATCCACTACTGATGGCTAAAGTAGTAAGGTTAGCTAACTGTGATTTGCACAAACATCATAATTTTATAATGATTCCCAAAAAGGTGACAAACCAGGGATTATTTCAGTCTTATAGCACAACTAGGCCAATGTGTGTAACATTATTATTCATACGACGAGTCATTATCCAAACCATAATTCATAATGAATAAGGTGGCCTAACCATATAAATTGCAAGTGTGTACATGTGAGAGAGAGGGTCGAAAGAAATTGACCTGGGGACCAGGAGGAGCAGCAAAACTTTGTTTCATCAAGGTGATGGACATCAAGCCCAATAAACCATGATCCAGTGCTTACATCATCATGTGCATATGTACGAAGAATAAATCTGAAAAGTAAACATTTCATATTGATCTCGCATTCTAAGATGATAATTATTACAACCATTTTAAAACACATACACAAAAAAAGGAAAACAATACCTGTTTATTGAAATAAACTGAGCCAATGCTTTTGAAATGACATAGACCTCGCCAGAAGCATGTCGAAAGTATCTGAATCAAACAAGCATGAATATGAATGACAACAGAGAATGTCCAAGAGGGAGGAAAAAAAAAACAAATTCCAGATCTAATACCATGATTTAGACAGTATTTTTACAAGTGTTCTTGGATAAATTTTTAAAGAATGCTTTAATGTCATTTTTTTTATAGATTTTTTTAGAAACAGAGGAAAGTTCTAAAATAGTTTTTTAATGATTATTTTTAAAAAAAGAATCAAAGTCTTATAAAAAATTTAACTTATATTTTAAACACAATTATAACCATTAAAAAAATTCCATTCATCAAGAGTGTTGTTTGATACTCATGGATGCATCATTCTTGGTGGAAATTGTCGATGCTTAATTTTTATACAGACATAATCTAGTTTACTTAACAATCTATTTCTAACACTTTCTATTATTAGCAGAAATTTATTAGAACACACAAATTTAGATAAGTCTCATGTCTTATTTAACGAGTTTCCCTCTCGATTTAGTAACATAACTCACCAATTATTTCTTTTGATTATTCAGAAAGATTATAATGACAATAACAAGGTCGATCCTAAGTCTTCATCTATCCTAACTTCCCAACTACTAGGCCGGCTCTTATGATTCCACACACAAAAATTTATAATTTTTAATAAATTTTAGTTAATAATATAGAAAGTGTTTAAAAAAGAGTGTTACTAACATTTCTCTTGATCAAAATTCTACTGCAGCATAACAGCAATAAGCTCATCGAGGAATTCATATCATGGGAATAAAACATCTTTCAATAAGGATAAATTAAATGTCATCATACTGCCACTTTCAATAAAACATCATACTGCCACTTTCTTCCCAAAACGGTAATATCCCAGAAAGAACAATTTAAGCTTTATTATCAATATCCCATCATAACTGAAAATAAATAAAACGAACAGTTAAGTCTGTATTACTCACGATTTTCCGTCACCAAATTTCCACCAGTCTGGCTCATGCCATTTATGTGACCTATAAAATAAGATTCAGACAAAGTGAGACAAGAAGAAATTTTCTAATACCATAATAAACTATTCCTATTTCCCAATGAACCATTTTGACAATACTCACGGCTCAGAGACAACTTTGCCTGATCTCATACAACCAATATAAACACGGGGCTTGTCCAAATGAGAAGTTAGCACTCCTCCAAGGGCATCTATAGAAGAAATCATTCCAACAATCAGTGACACAAAAAAGAACCTACAACAGCTAATAATACTTGATCCAATTGGCTTTAATCAATGCCATCACTTCTGAATCATCACAACTTTCTAGGAATTCAAGAAATTAATCTAACTTTTGGGGTGGGGTTCCAGCTCATCAACAAATTATCGTACTAATTGTCTCCCTTGTTTGATTTTCATGAATGGAATGTTCTCCAGTCCCTCTGAAGTTATAGTGCAAACTGTGGAATATTATATATGATTTCTTCTCATTCTTAGAAACAGTCTTTTGCAAGCAGAAAACCTGATGTATATATATACTAGAGGTGCAGTGATGCGTTAGATTTTTCATCGCCAAACAGAATTAAGGACCACATACCAAGATTAACATAGACATCATCATCGACCTTAGCATAAAATTCAGCATCCCAGTTGTCCACTGCATAAATGAAGAATGATTTTATCTTTTTTGCTTTTTCTTCAGGTGCCTCCACTTGATTATCCTGTGAAGTTAATAAAGATAAATGACATCATCATGTTTGCTTGTTGCACGTATTCAACTATATGTATACAATTTCATGCCAAGCGTCTAAATATCAGCCAAGAGCCCATCACCACATCAGGTTCAATAGTCCACAAACAAGGCGTAAGAACAAATGTTTGGAGCCAAAGTATTATACACCAAGGCCATTTTTACAATGCAAAGTATATCTGCAATGCATGTGTCAGCTCGACATTCAGTCATAGACCATATAGTCACACGGGAGAAGTTATAATATCTGTATTTTCCCATCAAATATTGCTTGCATGAAACTATCATTATTAAAGCCAACATACAAGAATGATGAAGTCGTTGGTGTAACTGCCTTCTGTTTCAATCTCTTTGTCCAAATTGTCTCCACGATTGGCACTGCATCAAAATGTAAAAAGCCAATCATTTGCTAAAATTGAATCTGAACCAACAAAATTGTACCTTCTTCCTATTACAAATCGCACAACGATGCCTTTCTTATCAGCCAGTTTTCTCATAGATGTACCTGCAAATAGGGTATAAACAAGTTCTGAAAAGGATTCCATAGATTACACCAAAAAAGTTAAAAGACTAAAAGACAGAAGCTATATATATATATATATATATATATATAACCACAGACATAGGTAAAAAAATGTTAGAGAATAATGGATTGCTTGAAACTGAGAGTTGATCAACACAATACCTAACTGTTGAAACTTTTGAGTTATGATTTCACAAGGAATTCATCCTAAAGTCCATTTACTGGTCATATTTCATTCAGATACAATATTGGAAATGATAAAACAGAAGAAACACCCAACAGGCAAAACCAATAATGGAACACCTAATGAATAGTCATAATTATTCAGTAGTAGCTAATATCACAAAAAGCAGAAATCAAACAGCAAAGTTTAAGTCTAGCCTGAAATTATTTTTGGCAGATAGAAGGTGTTCCACTGAATGAGACTGAGAAAGCCAATATGCAGTAATGTTGCTAAAGGAAACCAAAACAACGAAAAAGGTACCTGTTGGCATCCAAGCCTTACGGATTGCATCTCGGTTCTTTTTTCGACCAAATGTTGTCATGACTCCTACAACTGAAAGTACCTTCTTTGTAGGATGCTTCCCATCATTTCCTGGCAAGTGTTTTGGAACAAAACCTTCCTGTCTAGCAGCTGCTACTTCTGTCTCAAGGGAAGCCAACTTCTTACGTTGTTCCCTGAAAATAAGGGAACAACAGCCTCACGTAACGATTATTCACAGTCAAGTTCAAATTCAGCAACCAAAATGGCAAAGTGACATTGACAAGGCTACAACAACTATAAGAAAATTACCTGCAGGCTATAACTTTAAGTGTATCATCAACAGAAACGGCAGATTGACCCTGAAATCGTACAAACTATACTGCCTCATCGATATCCTAAGATTACAGCTAAAAATAAAAAATAAACACACCTGCAATCGCGCACAAACGAGGCATTGTACTCGTACAGTTCACAATAACAGAAAATTCTAGTGTCAAAACACGTATATGCTATGCAACGTATAACATGACTGCACTAACTTTAATGAAGAAAACTAACACCATACCTGACCAGTTCTTTTCTCAAGCTCTTCAATTAAATATGTCCTGCTTTCCGCATCCTGCCATAGCCTGCGCATCACACAATAATACATGAAAAATTCGAAACGCAATCCGAAATTGAAACATCAAAGAGAGATGATAAGTAAGAGAAAAACTAACGAACCTGCCAGCAACGTAAATGGTAGCCATAGTAGCAACCATGGCAAGCATGAGAGCAGAAACGCGTGATCCAAAAGAGTCACCATATAGCCGGCTTTGTGATCCCCGGCTACGCATTTCTTGTTGTTGAAACTCTCATCTAAGTGTAGATCCGGGGAGAATGAGTGTTCTATAAAGTTGGAGATTGAAGTTTCGATTCCGAGACAAAAGGAGGAGTAAATGGATGTTTAAGAAGCGAAGATAACTGCTTGGTTGGGCCTTGATGTTTCGAGTTTGAGCTGTGAATACGACTTTGTAACCGTTTTTAATTTCAGGGTTCATGTATCTGCCTTTTCGGTTTCAGGTTTCAATGGAGGTACCTGAAAGCTGAGCCTGACATGAAGATTGAAGAACCACTTTCGGATACGTATAATAATAAATTAATACAATGCTGATTGCAAGAGAAAAATATAATGTAACCAGAATCACAAAGGGCGTACGATAGCCTCGCTCGATTAACAAATTTGCTTCCTTTTTTTCTACACTGGGTTTTATCATTCTATGTGTGACCCAACGGGCACTGCACTAGTGCACTATATCACATTCGTTTAAATTGAAAAAAACTGTAAAAAGGAAGAAAAAATATTAAAGCTGCTTTTTTTTCCTTTTCATTTTAACTCCAATAAGTTATTGCAGAAAAATATTTAATTTAAAAAAACAATTTAAACGAACACATGTAAAAAAAAATGAAAACGCCTCACTTTATTTAAAAAAAAATGGTTCTATAAGGAAAAAAAATATTATATTTATATTTAAAGGTGATTTCTTGTTTATATATATATATATATATATATATATATATAACTATGATTATAAATTATGTATCATAATTTTTAAAAGTTAAAAATGAATTCTATATATTATATAAATCATGATTAAAAATATTATTTTTGGAGAAAATAAAAACTTTTAAAGAGAGTAATAAAAAAGAATATAAAAGTATTAATCCTCTCGCTATTAGTCCCATCTATCAGACATTATTCCTCACACTCAAATTTGAACTTTATTGCAAACCTAACAAAAGAAGAAAAGAGAACGGACTTTTCCTTTACCATTTGAAAAGGATGAATTAGGCATGATTGGTTGAGGTTCTATGAAAAGTGGCTTTATGATATAATTTCTTATTTTGTCTTTAAAGATAGGTTTTAACTTATAAAAAAAGGCAAAACAAATTCCTAAATAAACAAACTTAATAATTATAAAAAAAATTGGAAAAATATATTAAGAATATAATCTTTTGAGAGAAACACAAATAACCAGGTCCTTAAAGTTTAAATTATTTTATTTTGAAAATAATTATTTTTTTATACATTTTGAAAAAAAAAAGTGAAAAAATTTCAATAAAAATAAGACATGGCTTGCATTACTAAAGAATAATGACACTCCAATAACGTTGAAAACCCAAGATCTACCAATCATTTGATTATTTCTCATGATAATTTGACAATTTAATTTACTTAATTTTATGTTTACACACTACAATTTTTGGTCCAAAAAAATTAATAGTGCATTTTCTAAGTGGCTTTTAGAATATACAGTCGGCCCGTCATTTTCTCTGCCGAGGGAGTGGGAGTTGGAACATGCCATCGCTTTGGCCCAATATATATATTTTCTAAACCAAAAGCATGAATATATATTTTCAAACAACATTTATTTAAGATTATTTATTTATTTATTTTTACAATGACGCTTCAACTTTATTTGTCACTTTTTTTTTTTTTTTTAATTCAATCATTAAATTTCAACTTATCCAAACAAAACTAACAAGATTTCAATTTCTAAAACAAATAAAATAAAACATCTACATATTTTATCTCTCTCTCTCTCTCTCTCTCTCTCTCTCTCTATATATATATATATATATAATTAGGAGTAGAAGAAATATTTTGTATATAATAAATATATAATTTTTAATAAAATTAAGTGTTTAATTTCTTTTATTAAATATATGCATATAGTTTAGAATATTTGTAAAAAAAATATTTATCTACTATTTTGGTTTTGGACTCATAAATTGTCGAGACTAGATCGTATTACTGTTTTTTGGGCTTTGTCGGATCGAGAACTATTTGGGATGAAAACAAATATTACCTTATTTGGATAAAAGAGTATACAAACTCCTAAAATTTGTTCCTAGCACCCTTAACTTTAAATTCATTTTAACTAATTTTTAGATTACAGGGATTATAATTTTGCATTAAAGTGAGTTATTTGATTGTGTAAGGGCTAATGAAAATTGAGAAATTCCTTGAGATGCAAACATGTAATGAGAGTTATATAATGGAAGTGCAATGATTGGGAGGGAGTAGAGTCATGGGATCATGGTGAGGTCGATGGTCCAAGAATACCAAAATTGGAGCAAAGATGAATCATAGAACCTTTTCAACTAAATGGCTTAAATCGTGCGGCCCATCCAATCCAAAAATGAATAAGGTTTACAAGTATCATGACACTCCAAAACAAGGAATATGGCTATGGGAAAGAATCTTACTTTTAAGCACATATGAAAATAAAACATTTTTTTGCTACTAATATATATATATATATATATATATATATATATATATATAATGAAATGAAGTTTAAAATTAGTAGAATTGCACGTAATTGTAATCAATTTAGGTAAAATCTTAGGGATGTTTTTCTTGCTCTTGTTCACTAATTCTAAATCGAGTGGACCTTGATTATTTGGTCTTCATTGGATTAAAGGAATTTGGATAAGTTATTACTATTTAAAACAAATACTCAAGCTAAAAATAATGTTTGGTGGATGAAAGTTAAGTTCTATGAATGTATATTAGTCTTTGATAGCTTTACAATATTATATGTGTACTATCCGTACCGCGAAGCCGAGCTCCGAGCTCGGTACCACAACGCGAGCTGACCTCGGACACGTGTTGTGTGACGTTAGCTCGACATTTAAGCAGATCATAACTAATCTCGGAGATCTCGCTCTCGACGAGATCCGTTATCCAATCACATCATGACTGATCTCAGGCTCAAGGCCCAACGCAACCCTAATTCACACTAAGGTACGTGCATTACTTATACAAGACATATACTCATACAAACCCTAACTTTGGCATCAGAGTCTCTTTTGCAGGTACCACCCCCATCTTGGAGCACCAGCGTACCAGTAAAGGAGACTCACCAATCTTGCTTGGAAGACCGTCTCCACGACAAATTCCCAGTAAGAAAATGAGCTGTGAAAATAAGATTCTTCTAATAAAAACAAGTGATATGTATGTAATACAGCTCCTAGTACTTAATTCTGAACTTCCCTTGTCGTGTTCGTATCTCATTTGGCACGCGGTGGTACTCAATTTCTCATTATTGCTTGCAGTGTATTTTGATCACAGGCTGTGGCGATTCAAATCATCGCACAGGTTAATAGTAAAGTTTGTGGCTGTTGGCAAACCAATGGTACAAAGCCTTGTGATAATTTCTGTATACAGTATTGTACTTTTTTTACTATTATATTACATGGCATATTTTTTGTCATGTCACAATACTTGTAGCATTTTTTACGTATCTTCTCATTTTATTTTTCACCCATGTAATAATTTTCTTGCAATCCAATTTCTGTGATGGCAGGCTGTTCCTTATCATTATCATTCCTTTGAAGACTCAGGTTTAAACATGATATAGAGCTGTTGATTTGATAATAGAGCAGGACTCGAGAAGAAACGTGCAAGAACCCAACTGGTTTGATCTATAGACCAACGTTTACAAGAGGCGCCTGTGCCATCATTCATTCACTATGAAAAAAGTAGTAAGATGATCTTAGGCTTAGCTTAAACTTCAACTTTGATGTACTCAACCTGTATGTATATACAGTCAATGGTATTCATTATTAATGTCAAAGCTATGTGTTTTGATTAATACGTTTTTAAACGGACTTGAACAGGTCATGAATCATTGCTCATGGACTAACAATACTGAAATGATGTAGACAAAAAGATGGTAGTTATATTTTTTATGATGAAAGGGCATCACGAAAATGAACACAGAATCGGAGGAGGTGAGGCAATGCAAGAAAATGACTGTAGCATAAAACAACCAATTCAGGGAGTAGTGAATGATTATGGTTCAGCTTCAGATGTCAGGCAGAGCCCTGCAAACAAGGACACGCATTTTCTTAAGGAGAACGCAAAATGGTACCTCCACCACCAAAAAAGATTACCAAAGGCCATTTCAAATTATTTATTATCACTACATTTTAAAAGCTGAATTCTGCTATTTGTTGGTTGAGGTGAGCTTGGTTGGACAGACCCAGCAATGTACCTCACAACCTTTTTACCCGAATAATAATTGCTTACTAAAAAGATATTTAATAAATGATAAAGAGGTTTGCAATATGCCCTTTTTTTATGCTTTCAAATCACTTTGCCCGCCTCTGAAGGCTAAATTAACAAGTCAGGAAACAATGTATTGGATGCCTAAACCTGACGTCTCATATGTATAAACTACAAAATAAAATATAAAATTCTCTCACTCGTGGCCAAAGGAATAAAGTAATATGGCTATTGCCCATTGCAAGACCCACCCACATGATCAATTTTATATAATAGTCCAAAAAATGTTCTGATTTTATAAAAGGAAATAGACAAGGACATGACACAATGATCAAGATTGACATAACATCCAAAAGAGAAAAAGGGGAAAGCCATTGGAATTAGAATGTCCTATAGTATATGCAGCACATAAGCTGGAAGAATAACCAAAGCAATTGCATACATTAAACATGTTGGCACCACCAATCGATTGCTATGTTGCCAAGCTTTAGCTTTCTGGTTCCCCGGTCAAATAAACTATTTGCTATACATAAATGCCTCTTCCCCACTCCACCAACCCCTCTTAGGCTCCTCCCTCCATACCAAATTTATTTGCATTCCAAAGACAAGATTGTTCTATTTGCTTACACCCCATCTTTCTCCAAAAAGTCTCACATTCACGGCTTAAATATCTTGTCTCTTTTACAACTTTTAGGTCCTTCCAATGGATACTTCCGAGCCACAGTCTTCAAAACAGCTAAAAGAACACCTCCAGCACCACCAAGAGCCTTTTTCATTGCAAAGTTACCTTGCTGAAAGAAGTTACATGTTCGAGAACTTCAACTTTGGTAGTAGCAACATCAATTCGGCCAAGAATCTAAAGTGGTCGATCAAATATGATATACACAAGATAAGGAAAAGATTATTACATGCTACGGGGATGCTAAGATCACTGTTATACAAGTTCATTCCCACAGATGACAACCACGAGTTCTCAAACTGGGATGAAGAGCACATCAGTGATCTATATTATGTGCATGAATTAACAGCAGTCTCCCAGACAACTCAACAAACAAATTTAGCTGTGTCCGGTCATTTTACTAACAATGATGTTCAGGACAAGGTTTTGCCAGCGAACATGATGTTTCAGACATTCACACTCCCCAAATTGAGAAGATCTGAGGTAAGCATGGAATTCTTTAATGCAACCACAATATATTTTTGTAAACAACAGTACGAAACGTATACTCGCTTCGCTTCACATTATTGTTAGTATATAATTGTATACTATATGCAACATGAATTTCATTACCGTCCACAGTATGAAGTAAGCAATCTCACTTATTAAGCTAACAGGTCGATGCAGGAACTAAACCATTTTGGATAAGCTCAAAAGATAGCAGAGGATTAGAATGGAAAGAACCATTACCCAGTGCAGGTTAGAGTTAGACACTAACTTCACTAAAATCAAAAGGGGAAAAAATATTAACATTATTCATGCAGCATGCATTCGCATTTAGCTTTAATTTTTAACTAGCATTATTATATTTTATTATGATGAAACAGTGTGTCACTTAAAAAGTCCAGAAGGTGAGGTAGCACTACCTGTTCCTACTTTGTCCCAGAAACTTGTTAGAGATTATGTAAGAAAGTTACTAGCGAACTCAAATATTCTGAAATTTAGACGTGCAAGAAAAGACAAACTAGAGGACATGGTTGAGACAGCTTCTTTATGCCAAAGAAACAGAAGCAGTCTGCCAAAGAGGAAGCAGCGATGGTTTGACTATGTTGAAAAAGACAGAGTTTTTCATGAACATGGAGGTAAAAGTGTATCAAATAAAGCAGTTTCAGAATCAGAAGATTTTCAGAGTATGATACATGAGCATTTTAGCTTCTTGGAGAAACAATATATAGAAGTTAAAAAGATGAAGCACCTGTTGTATGCAGAATCGTGTGTGATATCAGAAGAGTGGAAAAGCTTCCAAATCGTAAATTGGGAGATATACATGGAGATAGGAGATTCGATCACGGATGACATTGTCAGGGAAATCATTGATTTATTTTAAATAGAAGCATGCGTACTCGCTTGGTTTGCATAACCAGGCTGATTAGTTTAGTAGCATTTAGCAACACTGTTGAATGTATTAACATCCAGGATCATATGTCTCTGCCTGTTCTATGTTTGGAGATTTCACCTGCACCTTGTTTTGACAATCACCCATGTTGATGTAAATTCAAGTTAAAGAGTTGGTATGGGTTTTTATTGCCTAAATTATTTATATTTTTGACAATTTTTTTTAGCTTCAAACCGAATCCATTCCTTATCATGATAGCTCGTAGACTAGCCGAGCCAAGATTGGTTCAAGATTTATCAATATTTATTGTGTATTTACGTTGTGTTAAGCTTGAAGGACCATGCTATATTTTACTAGTTTCATTAAGAGTATGACAAATCAAGACTTTTGGTCCGGAGGAAGGCCTGTATGGAACACAAAGACGATTTAGTGTTCCTAAAATTAATTATCACAATATTAAAATAATATTTAATTAACAAAACTCATGTCTTTGTATATAACTTTTGGTTAACAGTTTTTAAATACACTTGAAAAAAATAATTAAAAAATATTTGATAAAATTAAAAATTGTAAAATAATCCATTAAATCACAATATTTAACTACTATAAAGATTTAATAATAACGATGTTAGTGAATATGAGATTTAATTACAAAAATTTTTAAATTAAGAATTTTTTTAGTGCTTTAAATTAGATGTCTAATTAAAAATTTGAAAAAATTATAGAGTCTGACATATTATTTAACCTTAAATAAAAAGTACTCAAGATTTATTAGTTGGTGATGTGACTGCTAATTAAACTGTAATCTTAATAATTTAACTATGTTTATTGTACGTATTTCTTGGTACATTTGTTTATTATACATTTGGCGTTAAATAGTCATTATACACACTTCAAGTTCAAATAAGATTCGCTAAAAGAGAATCAAATCATCAAAACCTCATTCTTTTTTACCCAAAATAAAATTACCTAACTCATCTACACGTCGTCGTTAGTCATTCGTTAATTAAATAATAATTTATGGATAAAAAAATTATAACCAAGAAAGAGCATACTCTTTAGTCTTTATTTTTAAAAATATACATATTATTTTTTAATAAAATAAATAGGAAAACAAAATAAAATGATGAAAGCATGTTACTTAAATTCCCTAAGAAAATGTAAATGTATTTCTTTATATACATCATATTTTCAATTGTTTTAGTCCTAAAAAGTTGAGAAATGGGAGAGATAATTGAAGAATGGTAAGATCAACTCTATCTCTTTTTACTCTTTTCTTAAATGTAAGTGTTAGCATATTAATTCATTCAGAGACACAAATAAATTTAAGGCAAATTGAATTGGATGACATAAATGTTTCCTTAAAAAATAAGTTTTTTATAAAACTTTTTCTTTTCTCAAAAAATATAAAATAATTCATTCATATTATTAATCTCCTACATAGATGTAACTATGTTTTATATTTAACCTTGTGTATCAAAAAGATTTTGATACTTATTTTTGAAAAAAAAATGTTTATTTCATTCAATTCTATCTACCTTGAATTATTATATAACCTTTTATTTGTAGAAGAGGAAATTTACAAACAATAAACTTCATTAAATGACATTTATTTAATTATATTGATATCCACCTAATTATAATAACATATAATAAGAACATCATATCTGATTATAATATCATTTTATCGTTATATAAAATGATAAAAATATTTATCTAACTTTTTTTTTAATAATTCCTAATTTTTATATGATAAAATAAAGACATTCACCTAATTTTTTTTACGAATATCATCCTATTCTTAAAACATGATATAAGTGTTATGACAACTTAATAAAAATAAAGATATTCACTTTATATTTGAGGAGCAAATAGTATATTTAAACTAGAATTAAAATACTAGTATTATTATTATTTATTATTAAAAGTGTTTATGTCATTATATATATTATTTTCTATACAACTGAAAAAAAGAAATATTATTTTCTTTCGTGTCAAACAATGTATAATTTATATTAAAAAAATAATGTATAATGTTTTTTCCCTTAAACCAGTGGTGATAGGATTGATTAGCATAAAAGATAGAGTTGTGATTGAAGATGATAATTTAAGGTAGATGGTGGAAAGTAAGAAAAAGAGGAAACCAGGTGGCAGCATAAGAGACAGTATCTTATATTGTTATCTGTAATCCAGAATAATTGGAGAAGAGGGTGTCCCACAGAATCGAAAGGGCAGACGGCGTGCGAGAAGAAGCGATGTGTGGGGTCCTTCTTCCACTTTCCAGTTTTAACTGTTAACTTCTGGAATGCACTTCCGATGCCACCCATCACAAGGCACAAGTACTTTCAACTTTCAACCATCCTTCATCATGACAACATTTTCCAATGGCAACTCTTTCCTTCACCGCTCTTATCAATGCAAACACCACCACTTTCCCATTACACCATTCACACGCTCCCACTCACAATCACACACCTCTCTCTTTCTCCTTCTTCACCAAACGCACTTCCCTCACGTGCAGGTGCAGGTCCTCCATCAAAGATGACCAACAGACTGACTCCTCTTCCACCCAACAGGAAGTGGACTGGAAGAGCGACGAGGAGTTTAAGAAGTTCATGGGAAACCCTTCCATCGAAGCCGCCATAAAGCTCGAGAAGAAGAGGGCTGATAGAAAGCTCAAGCAGCTTGACAGGGAAACCTCCACCACTAACCCTATTTTGGCCCTCTTCAACACCTTAACGCGTGACAACTTGCTCAGAGAAAAGGAGAGGCTGCAAAAGGCTGAGCAAACTTTCAAGGCTCTTGATCTCAACCAGGTCACCTTATTCCTTATTCATATTTATCATTTCTTCATTCTTCATTCCTTATATTCAATCAGGATCATTACCTATTTATTTTGGCGTTATGCAGTTGAAGAGTTGCTTTGGCTTTGACACCTTCTTCGCCACCGATGTTCGAAGATTCGGAGATGGAGGCATTTTCATTGGCAATTTGAGGAAGCCCATCGATGAGGCCATTCCCAAGTTGGAGAACAAGCTCTCTGATGCAGCAGGACGAGAGGTCGTAGTGTGGTTCATGGAAGAAAAAACAAATGACATTACCAAACAGGTACTTGTCAATGTTTTTGAATTCTCCATTTCTTTCTCACTTTTCCAGTTCTATAACCTCAACTCTCACTGTTACTTTTTACACATACTTAAAATGATTACTTGCCAACTGCTGTGGATCACTTCAATTTTGTAATTCAAGCAATGAAAGAATCTTTCGAGGAAAATACTTTGATTACATAGTGTTCTGAATTATAAATGTTTTTCAGTTAAATGTGCACATCATGTGCCCATGTCACATACTATATATTGTTGATTCATTACAAGCACTCATGTCACAAAGAATGCGCCTTTATCGTCATTGTCTTCCTGGCTTTGTTTCTTTCTTTCTACATAGCCTAAAAGAAAATTTTAATGTTGTAAAGATTCTTTTTCTAGAACGACCATTACTAAATATAACGTCCATTCAGGCTTGTGTGGTGCAACCCAAAGCAGAAATAGATCTCCAATTCGAGTCAACTAAGCTCAGTACTCCTTTGGGCTATTTTAGTGCAATTGCATTAGCTGTTACTACCTTTGGAACAGTTGCTTTGATGAGTGGCTTCTTCCTTAAACCCAATGCCACATTTGATGACTATCTGGCTGATGTTGTGCCTCTATTTGGTGGCTTCTTATTTATTCTGGGAGTGTCTGAGGTAAGTTATATTTCAATATTTCCACCAAACATGGCAGTCTATTCCATATTATGTCATTTTTGATCTATTTTGCCCTTATTGGTAATCCTCTTACTAATAAGTAATTTGTGTTTCTTTTTATAACCAAGAAACCGCTTGCAAAAAGCCTGAAGAAATTTTGAATTTTTTTTCCTCATACATTGTGTTGTACACTTGTAGAAATGTAATTTACTGGATAGACATCATTATCTATAAGGGACACAGTAACAGTTGCTAAATTTGTTATTTTGAGTTTTTTAGTGGTTAAACAGACAATCTCCAACACAAGACTGGTATATTTGAGTTTTTGTTTGTGTATTCGTGGTAATTATCTCAACCTTTTTTGGTGGCCACGGTTTTTGCAATTGCATTACATACATAGTAGCATCTTTGATATTCAATCTCTTCTATGGCTGATTGGCTGTATCTTTTTCATTACATAGATAGCCACCAGGGTAACAGCAGCCCGGTATGGTGTTAAGCTCAGCCCTTCTTTCCTGGTGCCATCTAATTGGACAGGGTGCTTAGGAGTGATGAATAATTATGAGTCTCTCCTCCCAAACAAGAAAGCTCTTTTTGATATTCCTGTAGCACGTACTGCTAGTGCATATCTAACTTCACTATTGCTAGCTGTTGCTGCATTTGTAGCTGATGGAAGCTTTAATGGGGGTGATAATGCATTGTAAGTGTTGCATATAATACCTTCTGCACAAGTTCTGCTCTTTCCTTTTAATGTTTTTTCTTTGGTCAATAAGAAAAGAAAGAAAACTAAACTTGATTAATATTTAAGTGAACATTGTTTGCCAGAACCACAAACGCGTGATCTAGTAAGGCTATGTAATGTATTATTGAGTATGTAAGTTGAAAATGGCATATAGTTTCATTGTCGAATAAATTTAATAAGGCTTCACTGAGATACGTTGGGATATAGCATTGGCCATGGAGTTCCATGCATTAAATATACAGCAATATTGATAAGATTATACGGCCAGCATGCACAATGGACATCGTTGCCACTTGCCTGATATTGGCCATATAAATTCTATGCATTGCAGTTATAGTCAACATGCTTGGTGGAAATTATTTCCCCGATTATAACTTATTCTTATTTATTCTCAGGTATATACGGCCCCAATTTTTCTATAACAACCCCTTGCTTTCTTTCATCCAATTAGTTATTGGACCTTACGCAGATGATCTTGGAAATGTATTGCCTTATGCTGTGGAAGGTGTTGGAGTTCCTGTTGATCCGCTTGCATTTGCTGGGCTTTTAGGTGAGTTTGTAGAGATTACTAACGTAATTTGTTCCTCAAACTTTATAAGTGAATGATAATAGCATATTTTGTTTCTTTTATTGGTTGAAAAACAGCGTTATGGATGTAAGATGGCTAAACAATTTGATGTTTGTTCAGGGATGGTGGTGACTTCTTTGAACTTGTTGCCGTGTGGGAGACTAGAAGGAGGGCGCATTGCTCAAGCCATGTTGGGGAGAAGTACTGCCACGCTCTTATCCTTTGCCACTTCATTATTGCTCGGTGTTGGTGGCCTCAGTGGCAGTGTTCTGTGCCTGGCATGGGGATTGTTCGCAACCTTTTTTCGGGGCGGAGAAGAAATACCGGCAAAAGACGAGATCACCCCTGTAGGTGAAAGCAGATATGCTTGGGGCATCATCCTTGGTCTCATCTGTTTTCTCACACTTTTCCCTAATGGTGGAGGCACATTCTCCAGTTCATTCCTCAGTGGTCCATTTTTCAGGGGTGAAATGTAAATGTAGTCTATGCTCACTGCTCACTAGGAATATGTAATTATGGTAGTATTTTTATTTTACACGTTCAGCTTCTCACGTGAAGATATACCTGTGCTTTGTCTTCAGCGATGGAATAGAATAGGCCTTTGTAGGGGTCTATTGTCTTTAAAAGCTACACTTACTTTTTTATTTACTTTTAAATGTGATCTTAAACTAGTATAATATACATTAAAAAAATCATATCGGCCTTATAAAAAATAACTTATGATCATGAATCATATCAAAAGCCTAACTTATTTCCTTCCATATTTGTTATAACGTAATAAACATGATAAAAATTTCAAGAAGCCTGATTGTAGTTGAAATCGTATACTGAATTATTTTTATATGATGAATATTAAAAATTCATTAGACGGGTAATTGATGACATGATTGGAGGTGTAGTGAGAAAACTTGGGGAAGAAATGCTTTACTTTAGTCTTTAGGCATACTCACTCATGTATATAAATAAAATGGCAGACTAGTATTGTTATTGTTTGAGAGGTGTTAAATTATGTCATTCACAGTGGTGACAGTTAAATCTGCTCCTCTTTCAATCCCATGGTTTCGCTCTCACAATCGTCTTGGTCGAATCGCTCTTTCCACTCACCACGCTTCTAATTCTAGTCAACGCGTCTCCTGTTTCTCTCTATCTCAGGTTCAGCTTCCATCAACTCCATTTTCCTCTCTGTCCCGTAGTGATTACAATCGAAATTTATTTCAGAGTCGCAATAATTTCGCCCATGGTCCTCGCACGTGGATGCTTCCAATCCGCGATGATGATGATGATGATGATGACGATGAAAATGAGGAGGATCGGAGTTGGGAACTGTTGGGGAGGTTCGTTCAGAATGTGTTCAAGAAGGTTTCGAAGAGAGCGAGGAAAGCGGTTCGATCCGTTCTTCCTTTTCCCATCTCCACTCATTTGGTAGGGCTAATCTCTTCAATGGAAAATTTACAAGTTTGGATTTTTTAGGGGATTAAACATTTCTTTTGATACAGGTGCGGTTTTCTGTGAATGGGATCCTGATGCTGACGTTCTTGTGGATTTTTAAGATATTTCTTGAGGTATTCTTTTCATTCATTTACAATGACCACGAGCATCGTTGACATCCCTAACTGAACGCCATTTGTAGAATTCTTTCTTCTAATCTGCGACATATTTTCTGTTTTTGGGTATTTAATGATGATTGTGGAGACCTGCATCATTATAGTCACATTCGATACGATAACATTTACTGAGTTTTACCTTTTTAGCTGTTTTTGACTTTTGTTTTCGAATTACCGACTAGAAAATGGTTTTACAAAATATTTGGGCTACTACTGTTCAAAGCACCTTAGAACATGAGAATTCACGAACGATGGGATCGAGGTGTAGAAGGGTGTCCTAATGCACAAGGTTTGTCTGAATAGGGTCATTTGTACACAGCCTTGTTTGTGCCCTTATGCAAAGGCTGTTTTTGTGACAAAAACCAGTGATGTGGTCTTAAAGCAACAAACCTATTCTTACGAGGGGTGCAAATGGCTCGAGTCAAGTCCTGTACTGAAATTTGGGCTTTGCTTGCAAAAAGAAGAGATCATGCTCAGTTTGAGTGGTCTATTTAAATGAGTTAAAGATTCATAATTGAGCTCAAGGTCCAGGCCAGAATTTATTTTGTAACGCAAACAAGGTTGATTAAGCGGTTAATGAGTTGATTTTGAATAGCTCACGGATAATTTAATTCATTTACTCCTCTTTGCGCCACATCAAAGCTAGGATTGAAGATAGGCTGACAATCACAGGGAACCTGGTTTCTATTAAGTCCAGGACTAACTACAAGAAGAAAACTTGCAGCATATCCTTATAAAGAAATTTTCCATGCAACATTTGGGTGCATTATTGAACTGAAATTGGATTTGGTTGCTGTTTATGTTGTGCTTTACTTAATTTCCATAAAGAACATTGAATAATCAAGAGCTTGACTCTGTCAAACTTTGTTTCACATTGCAGATTGTTTCTGTTAGCATTGATGTCTAAAATGTAGCAATAGGTTATGCAGGCAGTGCTTGTTAAAATGTAATGGTGGTGAATTTTCCATTATGATGATTGGCAGGGAGTGAAAAATAGATGTATTCTTGTTCTGGACTTGTAGTTGCTCAGGATTTTGGTTTTGCACAACCCGGGCCATTTCAACTTGTTCAACTTTAAACCTTTTGGTACTGATGCATTTAGTATAATTCAATGCAGGTGTTGTGCACACTTGGAAGTGTAGTGTTTGTAAGCATCTTATTAATCCGTGGGATATGGTCTGGTGTTAGTTTTTTACAAGAAAATAGACGCCAAAAAATGGATGAACTAGATATGCCCAATGCCTGGAAGTGGAATGGTGCGCAGCCCGTGACTTGAGTAGTTCTGAAGACATGCACAAACAAGTCACAATTAAGATTTATTACTACTTGTGGAAGACAGGGAAGAAGTCGAATTAGGGAAATAACACCAGAGAAAATTTTACACTGCCACTGGAAGCATACCTTACTGCAAGTTTGATTGACATAGAATAAAAAATTATGGGAAGCTGCTGAACAAGATTCAGTTAAAATATTTGTGGTTTGTATAAAAAACGTATAGAAGCAGTCACTAACTTAATTTTTATTTTATTTTATTTACCATTTTTAGAGCTAATAAAAAGATGATTCATATGATACAATTCATATCAAATGTAGTGTTAGTTTAGGAGAGATCATGTATCTGCGTTATTATAGCCAGTAAGTTTATAACTTCCTTTGCCAGATGTTGTACTCTTGTTCATTATTATTTTTTAAATAATATAAATCTGGAAATTAAAAAGCTACTTAGAATATTAGATTTTATATAAAAAAATTCTTTCGAAATAACTAAATATTATTTGCTATCCTTGCCATTGCATGTTCGAGGACAAGTTTAATTGAACTTCGTTTAAAGGGACAACGAGAAAAAAAGGTTGCAGGTGACCTAAGTGAGAATATTAAGATGAACGTATAGTCATACAAGAAAAAACAAGATACAAAATGACTACATATGTAGAGTGACTACTGGTTAAGGAAGATTAAAAAAAACATATCAAGTTGATTTGGACATGAACAAAAGTCATCGGTGAGAAACGTATTTGCACGAGAATCTTTGTCTGTCGTACTAGAAAAAATTACTAGAAAAAATTTAATTAATATTTGTTTATGTATTATATATTTAAACGTTTTTTTTTAGATAAACGTTTAAATGAGTTGATTTTCAAGACTCGCTATAGTTGGAATAAATTTCAAGATTTTATGCGAATTAATAAGTTTTTTCTTTACTGATTAGATCAATCTTTGTTGGCTCATATATGTTAGACACATTTGAACAAATATATGATATATATGAGCAAATTAAACACGTAAACAAACATGAGAAAAATATCTGATATAATATAAACGTATAAATTAAACATGAAGAAATGTATTATATATCATATTTTCAACATATTTGTCTGTATCATATGTTTGTTCATAATACGAATAAGAATAGCAGTAAGAAAGAGAATATTCTAACACTGTTTGAGATTTCCATAGCACAGTAAACAAAGTACAATTCCCATATGTAAAAGGAGAAATAACTAGTTGAATTTAAGGAGATTTGAGGAATCTGGTGTGGAAAAGTAGCTACGTACATGTATAAGAAAGAAGCAGCTAGCTAGTTAATGGTGAAACAACATGAGAAGGAAGGCAAGCAAGTGGAAGCGGTTCATTAGTGGAAACTTGTGTGAGTCTCCAGAGATAATTCTTGACCAATGGATTTAAGAAGGTGATGGTACCTGTACCTCTCCAACGCCACCAGCCAGAAACTGAAGAACATGAAAACAAAGATACATACAGTGTGTATCCCAAATGCAGCCACCAAGAAAAGCAGACCTCCAACTTTATTAAAATCACTGTTGTTGATGTATAAGTGGTAGAATTGTGTCTCAGTAAAACACCCATAAGCTAAAAAGAAACTCATTTGCAGGTGCAGCCTCAAGATCACCATGTTCGGGAGACTTCATTCTCAATCGCAAATCGCAAATTCTCTCTTAGATTTCTGTAAGGACTATCTTTCTCAATAACCATTTTTTTTGCTGATTGTCTGGAATCTGGATAACACTTGTCCAATATTGATACATATATATATAAATCAAATAAATTTTGTTACCGTAATTAAAAAATTGTAAATTAAATATTACTTTCCATTATTAATTAATATTCAATCGTAATTGGTTATCTTATCATATATGTAATAGATACTTAACCAAATAAAGAAAAACTTTACCTAAAAAAAATCTGTAATAGATAAAATTATTAAATTTTATGATATTAAATATAAATTATAATTATGATGATATATGGTTGATAGATTCTGTCAAAAATTTACATTAAAAATCAATTTCTGCCCAAGAATCTATACCGAATTACTATTTTTCTAGAGAAGATTCCATCAGAAAATTAATTTAGAGACCCAATTCGTACAAGTATATATAATGCTATTTTACTATATAACTTAATATTATATAATATATATGGTTGTATCTTTTATAAATTAATATTTAATGCTTTATATATATAATTTATTTACATGTTAAAATTATTATAATTATATTATATATACGATAAACTGTTAAATGTAAATTAATAATATATTATTTATATTAATATATGATACACATTGTTATAAATTTTATAAATTAATATTTAGTACTATATATGCAATTTATATTTATCATCTATTTTTTTTATAATTAATATAACATCATGTACAATAAGGAGAAAAACTTATCCTATAACCCAACTCTCTCTTCAGAATAAAAAAAAAAACTAAATCATTAAGATAAGATAAAAGATATAACAAGACAACCATATTCCATTGATATAACAAATATCAGATTATAATAGTATAGAATAATTATTCTATAATATCTTGGTTATCAAATTCTTAATGTTTAATGTTGAATTAATAATAATAATAAATATTTTTTTTAGCTTTTAACATAATATATTAAACAATAATAAAAATAAAATAATATTATCTTATAACATAATTTTATTAATATTTAAGACTAATAATAAAACAGATATTAAGACTAATAATACAATAAATAATTATATAATATTATATTATATTATTACGACATGACAGAAAAATATAAACAAGATTATATTATAAATAATTTTATATTATATAGTTATAGTAATATTTTTATTTAAAATAATTAAATTAAAATTTATTTTTAAAAATATATGTAATTTTAATGAAAGAAAAATTATATGTAAAAATTGGAACTTTAATAGAAGCTAGTGTCGCGATTCGCTTATAAGTAGATATTGATGACTCTAGAATTATAGAAGTCCTTCTCTCGTTCTCCGTTCCGTAATTTGGTGAAAAATAGTAAAATAGTGCTCAAACGTACCAAACAGATCTTTAGGAAACCTGTTTATGACATGAAATTGTGAAGCTCACAGTCACAGCCTCACAGGTTCAAAGAAGAAGAAGAAGGACTCGGGTCGTTGTGGGTGGTTATGCTTATGCTTCTGCCTCTTCTCGCACCCAATATCATCACCCCTAACTAATCCAACTCAAGCTGATTAAACCCAAACAAGACTAACTTTTTTTATTAACACACAGAAATAAAAAATTAATTAAGAAACTAAACAAATTTTATTAGGATGATTTGAGGTTTTATCCAATGAAGTGGAGGGTTCTTGCAGGAACATATGAAAGATGGTTCTTGCGAAGACATTGTGCCTGCTGCTGAGAACAACATAGACACTAAATTTATAGTTTTGGAGAAAGGCAAGACACAACAGCAGAAGGGCAGAATAGGAATCTGCAGCTGTTCACTTTCAGCTTTTGGGAGATGAGTGTGATTGCTTTTGACTCAGGTGATACAATTTCCTTAACCAATGGAATCTTTTCCTACCACCATGCTAACCTTATACTGAGGGAAGTTTTCATTTGAAAACGATGTTTGGCATTTTCAGTGAGAAATTTGGGAAAGGGGAAATGAAAGCATGGTGATTTTGTTTGAGTGGGGGAGGGAAGAATAAAACCCAAACTGTTAGGTTTAGAGAGACAAAATTGCTGCCTTAGTCAGAAAGGTGAGAGACAGCCAAGGTAAGGGTGACGGTTCCTGATGGTGAGATTGAAAGGAAAAAAGAAACAGTTCATGCGTGAAAGGGTGCATTATAATTGTTGAAAGCTAAATTAATATGATGATCATTATTTTTGGTTCACGTTAGACTACATGAAGTGGAGCACCCTAGAATTCGTATTTTTTTTTGGACTTAACTGGCTGATTTTACCTTTAAGACATAATTCATCATATTATCTTTCTTTTTAATTTTTCAGCAAATACATTATAAAATCTCACCCACCGTTCTATTTTTTTAGCGTCATTATCTAACAAAATTTGTAAATATTAATAACCAAGTTTTCAAAAACGTATCACATATTGAAGACATGTTCCTAATCAGGCAGATTTAAATATCGTCTGCAACATTAAATTTCAAGCTGCTTGTACTAATCTTTTATATAAGATTAAACGAAGTTTGGATCACTATATTCCTGATTAATTTAGACTTTAGTTCATAATATTTACAATCAAAGGAAATTGAAATGCTTTAGAGAGAAACTCAAACTTAAAATCCACAAATCGCTTCCATCATCGGATTAAGCTCCAGTGTAAACATGTGTGGCTTTACTGCGTTGTATTTTAATTAACAATAGCTATTTATGACTGTCTCATCTGATATATCAGGTCAAAAAATGCCTTGACACAACTATGACCCAATTCCAAGTTCATCTTTTAGGGATATTAATTCCACATATATTACAACACACCCAAACACACTCCCTAATGGAAAGATGATATTTACAAAGACCAGGTTAAAATGTAGTTTGAACTACAAGGACAAATATGTGCTATAGTTCAATTTTTTCATTGCTGTGTCAGGAGACAAATGACTGTACATATACACAAATTAAAGATGCTAGGTAAGAGAAAGAAAGGGAAAGAGGGGCAAAATGGACTTGAATTAAACTATGTACAGATTATATACAATATTTACTGCTCCCTTGAGATTTACCAGAAAGGGCACCACCTGTAAAAAGGGAGACAAAAAATACAGAAATATAGATGTCATAATTCGCCAAGACATGATAGATTCATTATGTCATGAAGCAACTATTTCAAAAGCTTAAGCAGTTAGGCAACGACACATGAATGGTTTTATATCAAAATTTTAAAACATCACACGAGTCCTTTGGACTTGAATCATGGATAATGCACAACCTACCCATGTGCTTATAATATTTTATTTATTTATTTGAAGAATGGGGGTGGAAAGGATCAAACTCTAGACCAAACGGTCATAGACTCTAATACCAAATCATGGAAGTTTCTTTTTATCTCATCTAAAAGAGAAAATAAAGGAGGGAGAGAAATATTGCCAAGCCCATTTACCACAACTCTGCCTGTGTAGATGTTTAATCAAAGAAAAATATTTAGTTTAGAAACCATACCCTACGTAATTTTGGCACAAATTTTCATGTGAGGAAGCTTGGATAATTAACTTTTGAACTTGCAGTTTAACAGATAAAGCATGATCAACTTCACGAGTGTCTCCAGAAATTAAGCTGCTATGGTCCACAGCATGCTGAAGGGAGCTATTTGATACTGAAGAACAAGTTGAAAAATCCCGCCCTGTAAGCTTATTACTCATGCGAGCCATGACAACCACGGCACGTTCATTCAGAACCTCATTAGCATCACCAAGTTGGTTAACAGCCTATATGCAAAGGTAG